TTCAAAAGTTGTCGACTTTTTATCTCGTAATAATGAATTTTTATCTCATTTTTATGACTTTTCTAAGTCGTAGTAGCCACTTTTTATGTCGTTATTACGACTTTTTATCGCGTCATTACGACTTTCTTCAGTCGTAATAATGACTTTAAATCTCGTAATTATGACTTTTTATCTGGTTATAACGACTTCTTTTTTGTCTTTTTTTTTTAATTTTATTTCTTTAATTTTCTTAATTTGACCTTCCTAGGCTTTTGTAATAATATATGAGAAACTATTTGAAATATACTTTTAAAAATAAAAAAAAAGCCTTGATGTAACTCATGTAAAGAGTGGAATACATACCTTAAGAATCTGTTGTTTGAATAAATAACGTCATAACTTTGTTCATAAAAGATTAAATATCTACATATACATAAATATGATATTGGTATGTAGTCATTCTGTACATATGTACAAGTAGGCATATATACACGTTGATTTACCAAACAAGTAAACCTGTAAAGGGGAAATGTACAATCACGTTGCATTAACATGTACATGGTACATATACACTTTGAAGAAAGCTGTCATTTTTTACTGATACTTACTCATTTTCAGCAATCCTTATTATTTCTTGGAATAAGACATTTTGTGAATATTAACTGAACCTATTACAAGCATATTTATCCAAATCTATTATTTGAAAACATTAGAAAGTGTGTTCCCCAGGAAGCAATCTGTTAGTCGATCAGGTATCAATTATTGGTATCAAAAGGATATAATATTCATAGGTTTTATTAAGTGAAAGTTAAACTCATGGCATATTTATTTGAGGCAATAAGGAAACAAAATGAGAATGAATCCATGCATAACATTAATAAGAGATTCTTAAATGAGGATATTAAGATTTTGTGTATGTCAAAAAGCACACTCGTCCCCACGCCTAGTTTCATTTGCCAGTGGAAGTCATATTAGGAAATGGATACATAGAGAATAACTTTCTTCTTGAAAATTATGTACATATATAAAACATAAAAAGCATTCAACAAGATGTGCTAGTGAAACACTGATGCTTCCCTATGACAACTTATGGAAAAGGTTAAAGTTTCTCACATGCAACTGATGCAAGTTAAACTTCAAGATCAAGAGATCAAAAATGTTGGTACTCAAAAAAAGACCTTGTGTCAGTGGATATACCTAGTAAATATGATAGCCCAAGTACAAACCATTCATAAGTTATGCATATGGTAAAGTTAATGTTTTTTTTAAAGTGGATCAAACCAAGATTAAGGTCAAAAGGTTAAAATAAATGGAACATATAGGGGAAGACCTTGCCAAAAGAAATAGATAATTATGCAAAATATAAAACCTTAGAACAGTTCAAAAGCTATGGCCAAGGTTGAAGTTTTTCAAAAGTATGCCAAACTCCAGGGTCAAGGTCAAAAGGTCAAAATTGTTGGAATCTAAAGGAAGGTCTTAACACAAGAAATATACCTGTGATGTTTGAAAGCCCTAGTAAAAACTGTTAAGAGTTTATGACCAAGGTTAAAGGGTTTTTTTAAGTGGATCAAACTATAAGGTCAATGTAAAAAGGTGAAAAATATATATACCCATGGCAAAGTGTTGTCACGATGAATACACATGTAAAAAACGAAAGCCATAGCATAAACTGTTCAAAAGTGATGGCCAAGGATAAAGTCGGGTAAATTTATGTAAAAGGGGATAAAACTCCAGGTCAAGGTCAAGATGTCCAATTTGTTGGTACCCAAAGGAAGGTCTTGTCACAAGGAATACACATGTGAAATATGAAAGCAATAGCTCCAAGCAATCAGAAGTTATAGGCAACGCTAAAGTTTTTGTGGACAAATAAATAAACAGAGACGGACAGACAGGGCAAAATCTAAACACTCCCGAATCTTCAATCACGGGGAGGGGGGGGGGGGATTAAAAAGAACAGTGAATTTTTGGTACATGTCTAGAAAAAAAAATGTAATAATTAGGCATATATTATCTCGTACTTACAATTTTTATGCCCCCGTAATGGAAGATTCGGGGGTATAATATACTTTTTGTCCTGTCCATTAGTCTAGCTGTTTGTCTGGTTGTCCGCAAAAACTTTAATCTTGCCCATAACTTTTGAGTGGGAGAGGCTATGACTTTTTCACAGGTGAATTCCTTGTGACAAGACCTTTCTTCGGGTACCAACAAATTTGACATCTGGGCATTGGTGTTTGAATCCTTTTGCAAAAAATTACCAATAGTTGGTGCTATGTATATTCATTCTGACAAGACCTTCCAATGCTTATAAATATGTTCGACCTCTTGACATTGACCTTACAATTTGACCAACTTTAAAAAAAAATTTAACCTAGGCCATTCCTTCTGAACAGTTAATAATAAGGTTTTCATATTTCACAGGTGTATTCCTTGTGTCAAAGCCTTCCTTTGGATACCAGCAATTTTGACCTTTTGACTTTGGAGTTTGACAAACTTTTAAAAAGCTTTTACCACGGCCATAACTATCCAACAGTTGGTGTTAGGGCTTTTATAGTTCACTTGTATATTTCTTATAACAAGACATTACCCTAGGGACCACTATTTCTTATCTTTTGACTTTGGAGTTTTATCCACTTTGAATAAAAAAAACTTTTAAACTTGGCCATAACTTTTGAACAGTTGGTGCTATGTGTATTCATTGTGACAAGACCTTCCAATGGGTAGAAATGTTTTTGACCTCTTGACCTTAGCGTTTGAGCCACTTACCTAGGCCATAACTTTTGAACAGTTAATACTAAGGTTTTCATATTTCACAGGTGTATTCCTTGTGACAAGACTTTTCTTTGGATACCAGAAATTTCGACCTTTTGACTTTGAGTTTGACCTACTCTTGGAAAGTTTTAACCATGGCCATATCTTTTAAACAGTTGGTGATAGGGCTTTTATATTTCACTAGTTTATTTCTTACAACAAAACCTTCCCCTAGGTACCATAATTATTACCTCTTGACCTTGGAGTTTGACCCACATTTCAAAAAAGTTTAATCTTGGTCATATCTTTTAAAGGTTAGTCCTTGGGCTTTCATATTTCAAGTATGTATTCAATGACACAAGTCCTTGACCTTGACCTTGGAGAAAGACATGCATTTGAGAAATTAACCCTCGCCATAAGCTGCCATACAGGAGCATCAGTGTTTCACAAACTTATCTTGTTTCTCGTAGTTACCAGATAATTTTCTCGTAAATACAAAATGAGATAATACGAGATCTTTTTGAAAACTCAGAAAATTTCTGGATAAAAACTGTGTGATACTGGTGATGGGAGTTTGTATATAATATTAAAAACTTAGTAACATGCATTTTTATCAGTGCTAGTCGTTGACGGAATAATATACTGACAGATGTGCCCTCACAATGTTCCCCGGTGACATTCCCATGCAAAGGTTTGTGGGCGCTGTCCAGAGATGCGGCATTAAATACCGTTATTGATCATCTCTTCTATCGGAGGAAACCACCGACAAAATGTACCAGGCTCTTCCATTCTGACCGGAAAGAGTCCTGCAGCCTGCTGGCCCTGACTTGAGACTCTGGGTAAAGGCTACAGTATATGTGGACTCCAGACCGTGGTATGCGACGCTGGGTGGGCATATGCAGACTTCAGACGGTGGCTTGAGACACTGGGTAAGGTCTATGATTCCGGACCGTAGCTTGAGATGTTACATCTTCGCTAGCCAAGGGTCTAACGATCAGCTCCACTCTCCAGTGTTGGAGAGTAGTGTACATAGCGGATCGTAAGTGGGCTAGCGAAGATGGAGATGTAACATTTCTTCAGACCAAATGAGAAAAGTTTGAAATGTCGGAAATTACATTGTATAAAACTCTGAATTTATTATATATATGCTAACTCAAATATTTTTTTATTTTATTTCACAGGTAGATATAGAAAGAAAACTGGATTTCAGCACAGAATTTATAAGATTGTGTCATATACATGTAATTAATTACAAATAAAAAGAAACTAGGGAGGGGCGGATCCAGTGATTTTTGAAAAGGGGTTCCAGGGTGGTACCACCCTCCACACACACTCAAACATAGATTCACACACACACAGGGAGAGAAAAATCACCCAGGCTAACATATGGCCCTGGAAAATAATAAATTTGTTTTACGTCACTTAACTCTTTGAAAAGGTATCCCCCAGTCCGAATAAAAATAAACACATTCCAACTGAAAACTGGTTTTCCAAGAAAATTTGTTGAGAATTTTGCGAGAGAAAAAAAAAATGTGTTTGCGTGTTTGCTTTTTTTCAGTTTTTGACTGCATTTTCCTGAAACTCTACACTGTATATCCGCCAGAGGGCGTAAAACAAAGAATAAATTAATTTACCCTATCTTTTGATGACTTACATAAGAGATAATCCAAAAATAGTATATTTATAATTTAACCAAAGAATGTCGGAGTCTGATATCAAATGGAATCTCGCATGTTACTTATCATATATTGAAATATGTAGAATATTTTGTGCTGTTCACTCATAAATAAATAAAAACTCTGAATGGAAGAGATAATGAAGGTAAATGGAGGAAAGGGAATAATTATGTGAGACTCAATTTATAGGAAGGGGATATGCGCAGAGATTGAGGTCCTTTTGAACTACATGAACATATTCAAAACATACAATATCTATTCCAGAAAAATTGTTCTCTCTCTCTCTCTCTCTCTCTCCTTTCTCTAATTGGCAAAAAAGGGGGGGGGGGGGGTCCCAACCCTGGAAAATCATTCGATGAGTTCTCTTTTTTTCCAAAACAAACACCCCCTTCCATATCAAAATTAAAAATTAAATTGAACTTTTCTAAATGTAGAAAAAAGAACATATGCTTATGGAGGGATCACGGAAAATCAAAACAAACTTGTTTTGAAGTCGCGCTCGGGAATCCATTCTCCATATATAAACAAAACAAAACCGCGGGTAACGCCGGGTTGCCGACGGTATTTCCATTGATTAATAATGTTGTTATTTTAAGTTCTATGACACAAACTCCATTGTAGAGAGTTGGAATGCAATGGATTTCAACTTTGAGAAAATTTGGATGTAGGATACATGAATTCGAAAGGTAAAACCAGGGACCCATACATGTGATAAGTCAAAGACCACAAAACTGTACAGGAGCCATAAAAAAACTGGAATTTGGGTGAAAAAACTGTACACTGCCTATCAAAAAACGGTACAAAAAAATGGTATAAAATATCGCTTAAATTCTGATGAAATTCCATCGTAATCATTGTAATAAACATCGTATATTTTATACCTACGAAGATCTGGGTCAGATTCACGTATATTGAGTAAAGGAGAAAGGCCAAAAACTGTCCATTCTGTGAGAGAAAGAACTAATCGAGGGCCGTAGGCCCGAGATTAGTTCTTTCTCTCACAGAATGGACAGTTTGAGGCCTTTCTCCTACTTAAAACATGATTTCCTTTGTTCTGAAAATTAAATAAAAATGTACAAAATGACAGCACACATACGATGACAAGTTCATTGTTTACGGAATGGACAGTCACAGGTAAGCTAGGGATGCAGAGCAATTTGTTGAATAGCCATTGTGTTTCCAGATGCAAATAACAAAAGGTCTTTGTCTTAAGAATGGACAGTTACAGGTGGATTTTGTGGGATACTAGTATTTATACAAGTATGCGATGCTTCAAAATCAGTTTACAGTTTGCGTTGTAAAGACATACATGTTTTCCTGTGATGGAGAGAGTATATGAGAGAATCAAAATCTAATAAACCAAAATATGCGCAAAATTAGTGATATTTGGATCTGGAAACAGAAAAGAGTAAAAGAAATACTACGGTAACCCAAATTTGACCCAAAAATGAACGTCGACGACAGATACAGATGATCAAATTTGAATCAAACTTGGAAATGTTTTATTTGAATTCTATTTTTGAGGATATATTAACTGCAGCAGTGTAATGGTGAGATGCAAATTGTGTTCTGAGTGTTGGATTACCCATTATGAGCCAATCATCGACCTGAAATGTTTTTCAAATCATATTTGGAAATGTTTCATTTTTATTTATTTTCTTCCGAAGTATTAACTGCAGCAGTGTAGTGTTAATGGTGCAAACAGTTTCTGGGTGGAGAATTTAATATTAGACGTACTTCTATTTGAAAATGAATTCTCCTCGAGGGAATGATTTTTACGAAATTTTAATCAAATGTGAAATTGTGTCATTTGAATTCAAGTTTTGTTAAAATTAAGTTTTGAGTATTGAAATAATGTGCATTACTCATGGATTTGAAAGAGTAAAATCGAGTGGATGCTGTGCAGACATTGTGTTCTGGATTAACTTTGATTTCCACGTTCTTTTTGTTATCTACATGTATATTAAAAAGTATTTAATGTATTTGTTTTTGTTTCCCTCTTGAACACATTCCAAAGTTTACCTGTAACTCTCCATTCTGTTTGTTTTAACTGTCCATTCTTTTTGAAAAAAACTGTCCATTCTTAAAAGAATGGACAGTTTTTCAAAAAGAATGGACACTTACAGGTAACTTAATGGATTGTTTGAGGAGTTAGCTCAACATTAAGCTATAGAATGGACAACACAAACAAAAGGTTTACGTCACAATCATGTTTTAAGACTAAAGTCATGAATATCAACTTTAGAAGTTGGCTTAATTTTTTTCAATCAAGTTACGAAACATTAACAGTTACAATTAAGTACCCCTTTAAAAATAAAGCTACCTAAAGGGGTATTTGATACGGATTTATAGCAAGATAATTATCCCAACTGGCAGTTCACACCTTCGCACGCGACGGTTTGTGTACACTACACACAATTATCAGAAGGTCAAGTGTCAAACACAGGTGACGTTTTCCAGTGTCTCGCGAGTGAGAATGAGAGGAAAATGGCGGCATTTAGCGAGAAATTCAAAATACTGTACAAATTTTCATATTCCGTGAATTTTGGTGTCCCGCCGGTACACGATGAATGGGCTCAAAAAACTGTACATTTTGCGTGCAGCCTGTACATATCACATGTATGGGGACCTATTATAGGCTGAGGGACGTTTATCATGTTTATTGCTGTTTAAAAAATTTTACATGATCACGGAGTTAATGCCAACTAATGGTTACAGTTCATGTTACCTCTTTCAACCTGATCATCTCTCACTTTCAGGCAGATTGCTTAACATATGATTATAGTAGAAAATTTCACAGACAGATCCATGAATTTGTAAAAGAGCAGGGGTGCATTTTAAAAGTGTTTCATACAGGGACCTATATAGTATATATAGGTCCCTGTTTCACCTCATGAATTTTATAACTCCCCCCCCCCCCCCCCCCCATTTTAGAGTGCCTTAAAGACACTGAAGACTTCCCTTTCAGCAATGTATATGTTATTACATGGCGTTCAGAGACCAGAGTTTAAATCTTTATGTCTTCCATCACATTAACTCAATCTCTTCCTTTGAATTACATGTATGTATCCTACATGTCCTAGCCTCCTCCATTGCAAAATTCCATTGATTCATCCAGAGGATGATCAAATCAGCTAGGGGAAAAAAATCAATTTTTTGAGGTACTTCAAAATGAGTACATAGTTGCTGGTTGCAAATGTGGCAGTCGGACAGGTTTGATCGCTGGTGGCCAGATAGCTCAGAAGCTACAGACCTGTTTACTCCTAAGATTTCGCCGTATTTTGTAATTGAATTTTTAGTCCAAAATACGTCTCAAATTTTGCTATTATAATTAAAATACAAAAAACGGAAATCCGTTCCTTTGGATTTTAGCAGTTAGTTTTTGTTATGATCTGTCTAAGGTTGACGCCTTTTAATCGCTAATAAAAGAAAAAGATTTAAAACATGTACTTCAGTGATGTCAGGTTGTCAAAATGCTGTGGTTTCAAATATTACAGAAACCCATGTTTTGATAATCAGATAATCAGAAATATAGTTGTACGTTCTTTAGTAATATCTATTAAATCGATGGAAAGTGTAATCTTACTGGCAAATGCCAAATCTCACTGACAAATCTAATAAAAAATACTGAGAGACAACAATATTGGTAAATAGGTCTGTAACTAGGGCACCTGACTAGAGATAATGAGGCCAGGGTTCAAACCCCGGTCTGGTCCACTGCAATTTTCTCCTGTCCCGTTACACACAAAAAATAAAAAAATGAATATGTAGTCAAAATTGATATACATTTTTATTGACTGCAGGGCTCTCAATTGTCTATATTTGGGCCGTTCAAGGGCCCCATTCCCAATTCAAAAAAGGTACGTACCTTTTCCCCAATTGATGTGTTGATTTTCCCAATAGTCATTTCTCCCAAAAATTAAGGAAAGCATTAAGCTTGATATATATGCATGTAATAAGTAATAACTAAACTTGCTATTCATATTCCTCTGTATTGTAAAAGTTAGAAATTTAGTTGATAGCAAAGACCAGAAATCCAATATGTCATGATTTTAAAGTATAATGGTTATCCCAAAATTTCCCGAAAGGTTGTTATTTTCCCAATCTTTATGGCCCCGGCCCCATTCCCAAAAAGTGGTGGGATAGCCCTAGACTGGGTTTGAAGGCATTTTGTCAAACCCAAGAACCAAACTGTTTGCCTGAGGCCATAAGTCTGGAGGGGTGGACAGAAGACATTCTGCTAGAGAATCCATTAAGTAAGTGTATTGTTTTAATGGTTATAGTGTACCTTCTACTTTTTTTCACATACTAGTAAATTGTGCTGACTTCCATGTCAGATGTAAATTTTGTTAACCCGCACTGTACGTGGTTTAATTAAACTCAAGTCATTTCTGTAACTATCAAACGCCAGTGAATGCAAAATATTTGATCCTGCCCACAGTGTGACGTAAGCTGTCCAAATTATAATCAACAGGACTGGTCCAATATCTCACTCTGTGGTCTAATATTATTTTTTTGACCACTCAGTAAAACATTGGAAATGTTAGACTTATTTTATAAGGGAATTTTTTTTAAAGGTATAACAAAAGAGTATTTGATGAACTTAAAAACAAAAAAGACTGAAAAATGGTGATTTATCACTGAGGATGTCTGTTCTGTGTTGTGAAAAAGTAACTTAAAGCTAGACTTGCACATCATCAGTGGTGGATCAAGGTATCTTGAAAAAGGGGGGGGGGGGGCACCAGTTTGGGGTTGGGGTAGGGGCCCACAGCCACACACCCCTAAAAATGTATAATTAAATCTTAAGTATATTTTGGACACAAAAGGAGGGGGGCGTGCCCTCTGGGCCCCCCTCTAAATCTGCCAGTGATCATTCAATAATTATAACACATATATACTGTACGTAGCTCTACATGTATCAGATTTTCCGTCTGTGAAGGTTACAGATGGAACACATTGTGACCTTATAGAGGCTGGTGTAAACTCTGAAGGTGTACAGATGTTGACTGATATATTGATGGTGTGTTTCTATCACACTTTAATTCTCTTCCCTGACATGCTTGGTTGACTCCTGTCATATTATCCAAAAATCAATGTCATAATTGCTCTTTCCTCAGTTCTCTAGGTAAGCAGGATGTTTGATATAATCAATGTAAGATTTTAATTGATAAATAAATGAAGAATTTGATTTTTTAATTTTTAATTCCTACAATATCTGGGATATTTGATTTCTTTTTATATCCTGTGTAAATACATGTTTGGTGTACCTGATTATACCAGCTTAATTAATGGCTGCATTTTTTCATGGCCTGCATGTACAAAGTGTTTTATTTTCCTCTGTATGTACATAAATGTACAATTACACAGTCTATGTATAGACAGGGACCTATATACATGTATACATACAAATGTTAGTAATTTTAAGTCCCTGGTATAGATGGACCACTTTGTCAACATGTACTGCTTATCTTCTCACCTCCCTATCCCTCCCTTTGTTTCCTGTTGACCCTCTCTCATATTATTCAGTTAAAAAAAATGATTATTTACAAGATATCTTTAAATGGAGATTTTTTCATTTGGTTCATTATATAATTGTACTCACCAGATTTTGATTTGTAGGTGAAAATAGCATAATATTATAAGCTTTTATATTAGTTATGTGCAGCAAAATTACCTGTGATTGTTACTGGATTTTTGGGGCATTGGACAATTAATCATTAATGCACATACACATTATTTAAATTACCTGTAATTTTACCTGCAGGTTACCTATTAATGTTTTTAGACAACAAAGCTTGTGTGCTGAAATTTTGTTTGACTATTTGTGAATTTATTAATGAACATTCCTAAATATACTTTTAACATGCTCTGATTATAAAAGGTAAGACGTATGATTTGAACAAATTATTGTTAAGTTGCATTATAGTCCAATATATGACTTTCTCAGAATTTTTTTTTTTAACAATAGTGAAGGTGATGCATAACATTTTTGTCAACAGATGTAATATGATATTAATTCAATATGACCATAATGATATACTATAGAAAAAAGGTATTGTTAATCAATATTTCTTATACAAACCCAGAGCACAGTATCAACACATGCTCAAAGATCAACACAATCTCTTTCCTACCTTATATTGACACAGTTTGCTAATTGTTACAGTGAACAATATTCTCAAATTGAAATTATGTTTTAAAATTGAGATATTAATCATAAAAGTAAAAAGAGGGGCTGGATTTACCTTGCACTTGTTTCTGGAGCCGTTTACTTTTGACGCATGTTTTATTTGACGTGTGTACAAATGTAGGCCTTCATTTTGTCTTGTCATTTCCTCGTTGATCTCTGATCTTCACTCTGTGGCTTGTTTATGGCATGGTCATGTGAAATCTTAAGTTTCTGCATACTGAGGACATTCTTTCAAAAAATATGTGCTGTATACTATTTTAAAACAATCAACATAAGTAAATATGAAGGAATTAACCAGCAGAGGACTGTGTCTTAAACTGGTCAGTAATGGTAGATTTATTTGCTTTGATATATTTTGCTGTTCCTGTCTCTTGTTTAGATCTTGTAGGACACATTTTGAATGTCCATTTATTTAAAAGCAATGCATGTATTCTTATCCACATCACAGAGAGCGGTGGTAGCAAGCAACACTTCATTTGTTAGTTCTTGTGGTCATTAAAATCAGTCATGATGGACTCGCAGTTCATTTGTTATGAAAAGTACTCCCAACATACATTGTATTTTTATTTGTAGGGGTCACAGATGTTGTCCACAGAAAAGCCATGAGGTTAAAAAAAGGCAGCTGGGCCAAGTCCCGAGAAAAGGGTCATCTCGGGCCATCTCAGGAGGAGCAGCCCCTGCGGTCATTTAACAGCCAGTCAGCGAGGGACCAGTTCAGTGATGTGTGGAACACAGATTCCGATGACGAGCTCTCCTGGGATGAGGACATAGAGTACAGGTCATGTAAGTACACAAAAAGTGATGATGTATATGATATTTGTTATGATGCAGCACACAGGTTTTGTGATAGGAAGATTTATATAAATGTTATGTATATGATAAGATGTACAACAGGTAGATTCATAAGAATTTATTTCAGCTCTTCAGAGATAGAATAAAAAAAATAATTATGATGATGTCATTTTGGAGTGAATAGGTTAATTGTGATGTCATTGATGATGTCATCAACATCTCCTTTTTGGATGAAAGGAAGAAAATGCAGGATTGTAGCTTAATTGAGCTGAGGAATATGACTAATGTAAGTATAAATCTATATTTTTCATAAATTAAAGCATAATTTGTTTAATTCAGTCTTTAAAGGTGCAGATCAAAACATTAATATTGTCCTAAAAATCTAAACATTAGGCTAATATTGGCTTAAAAATCTTTGCTGAAATATGGCTGAAATATTGCTGACTCAGCATTAAAAAATAAACAATCATTCCTACAAATCTACTTCTTGGTGTTATGTAACCTTGAAAATTTTGAGTTTACCTTAGCAGTGTTAGTTGAAAATGGACTAGGGGGCATAAAACTTAGACACAGTCACTTTTGATCTCATTTTCAACTATTTTATAATTCCTTTGGTAAAAAGTAAGATCGCAGAGATCAAAAGTTAGCTTATCTAAGTTTTATTGCCCATGAGCCCCGATGAAAACAGAAGCTGTTGTATTTACTTAATGTTACATGTAAATAAATAAGGATTCTAACACTCAAGCTCATTTAAACATTCTTTCCATTGATCGCTCTATATGTAAATAATTTAGTTCTGATTTATATTTAGACTGTGCTTTATTTTAGATACAGAACAGTTGGCTAATACAAGACAGTATACATGCAGGGCTAATACAGAACGGAAAGTAGCTTCGCCTACTGTACTCTCGTTCTGTATTGCTAATACAGAACAGCAAACTTCAAAGAAAAACACCGCAATCATGTCACAAGTGATTATGAAGCCTAAACTGCCCCAACCTTTTTTTATACCATATAAATTGGGTATAGTTATTAAATTAATTCCTTAATTGTACTATACTAGAAGAATAACACATTTGCATGTATTTCACTTTGTCAGCATAACACCCATTTTTTTCACTTTATCCTTTCATCGTAACTTTTCTGAAAAAGATCCTGCATTCATCAATTATATGAGTTATTTGGCTTACCATATTGTCTTTTAAAGGGAGATAGTGAGATAGCACAGTTAAGGGAGATATCAGGAATTGTTTCCCTGAATGTAACATGCTCTAAACCAATCGGTTTATTGGTCGTATTCTGAATGATAAATAACACTTATCCACTGGTTGTGGGTGGGATAGCTCTTTTATCAAACCCGCGACAGGAACTATATTCCCTGAGGGCTTGCCCGAGGGGAATAGTTTCTGTCAAGGGTTTGATGAAAGAGCTATCCCACTCACAACCAGTGGATAAGCGTTTTATTATACTGATGTATATTATAATTTCTGAGGGTTGAATTACCCAATACTGCAGTTTCATAGGCAAAACATGAAAATGTCAAAAGAATAACACTGCAAGAATAAGCTGAAATCCCGATGACGTCACAATGCTACTGAAGTCGTGATGACATCATCATTGTATTGATTTATCGCAGGAAATTAAAATTGGCGTCAAAAATTGCATGAAAATTTTCCAAGGGTGGGTAGCAAAAACTATACTCCAGGGTATAGCTTTGCTATGTGTGGAAATTTTCAGACTATAAAAGATAGTTATTTTACCTTCTTAACTTTATATAGGAAACATTTTAACAGAAGTATAGTAATAATATTTATTATGATCATGCATGCATGCAGATGGGGTCCTTTTTTAAAGAAAGCTTTTCTGAGACCATGAGTTAAAAATGTTTAATAATTCATAATGGAAGATATCACAATTTTATAAACAATCACAAAATTCAACACAATAAAAATCTGATGAAGAAAACACACACAAAACAAGGGCACTGCAAAGCAGAGCATCCCCTCGCAAAGAGCACATCTATAAATCTATAAATCAAGACAGCATTCGACATTGATTCTGATACAGATTATGTCACTTCTGTTTCGCACTAGGACAAACTAACACACACACACACACAAGCACATTACTATATCCCCGTCAACTCCATTGTGAAGGGATAAAAAAGCAGCAGTGAATGACTGCATGAAGATGAAAAGAGGTTTAATTTTGTTAGACTTGAGAAAAAAAATACACAGTAACATGAATAAAAGTTATATTGATCAGGAGTGGGGGTGTGTTCTCAATGACATTTACATGAAGTGAAAATTGAATATTTACAAACTTAATCCATAATAGTTAGTGTTCAGTGTCCCTCAATCATTATAGTTATTACTGTTAATTATTAAGGTTACAGCAGACAAGGCCGTGTTTATGAAAGATTATCAGCCGTTATCGTATAATTTCAGTCATTATATGGAAATTATCGAACCAATGTGTGGTGTAAATCATTATGAAATTAAGCTGAAAATGACAACTGAAGAGAAATTATGAATAACTCTTGAATGCTTAAGTAAAGTATGTCAAAAAAGCATTTTTGTACTATTTGTATGCTTATAATGTTTCTTCCAAATACTGAAATAGTCCATATGTGATTTTAAATAATTATGAATTTTATGTAGCATTAAATAATTTAAAGTGTAATTTACTTTAAGGACAAGTCTTTGGAATATGGTAAAGGTTATGTAATTAAAGTTCATAAACCTCTAAACTTTTAATCTTACAGCCAACTCACGAAGCAGTATATACCAGTATTTTGTCAATTTTATTGTACAATGTGAAATTATAAGAGTTGTTTCCCTTGAATTGAAAAATGCTACAATTTCTAATAATAAGTATTGCTGGCTGTATTGCAAGGGCATTAAATTATAAAAATCTCTTTCTCCCTCAGTCTATTTCACTATGATTCATAAAATTTTGACATTTCTGTAGTATTTGGAATTACTAATGTAAGTTGATAATTTCATGAATGCAATTATATTTTTGTCAAAATCTACAGACTGCTCCCCCATTCCTTGATCGAAGGTAGATATAATTTTGATATTTCATCTGTGTGGGTTAAATCACTTGATAAGTATTGTACAATGAAATTGTTGTACAGTTTCACTCCCATGTTTTCCGGACTCCCAACGAGATGCCCATCTCGTGCCTGATTCGTAGCACAGATAGGAATTATGTTTCCGTAGTTATCTTGTACCTGTCAGTGTAATAAGCTATCGTCATAGCGATGATCTAATGCATTATGGAGATTTTTTTTCATTATTTATCCGACACACACACATAAAAATCACTGAATTATAGGGTGTAATTTAAAAATCACATTCGAGAGTGGATAAATGGAACATAAATAGGGTCTCCAGGCAATTTGCTTGTAATAATGCATTTTCCTCTTCATGAAGTATATATATATATAACCATTTACATACAGTGTTAACTTTATGGCTATTTATGAAATTTTATCAAACCACATGGACCTATTTAGCAGACTTTGGTAAAAAATATGGAGGAATATAAACTCACTTAGGTAAGTGAAAATTAAAATTAATAATTGTCAATGTATTCAAATTGTTGATTTTAATTTAATTTTAAAATTTGTGTGTATAAATTAATTGCCCCTTTTAAAAGCTACTGTACAGGTTTTAATTTTTTTTCTAATTAATTTTTTTTTCAGTCGATCTATTATGCTTTATGCCTTATTTAGATAATTTTGATTTGTACCAAAATTAAATTTAACATCAAGTGCAATTTCCGTAATCATTAAAATGTTTTTTATTTTATTTTTTCAAATTTAAAAAAAAATTAAAATTGTGTTTTCTAAAACTAAAGTGTCATTTCAAGTAATGTATTTATTTTTCATAGGCTTTAATGAAACTGAGATTCCGGACCCTGTTCAAAGGCTTTATAGTCACAAAATTTTAAGCAAGGAGGTGGGGGGGGGGGGGGAGCGGAGGTTCAGTTAAGTATAAATGTGATCAACAAAGCTAAATTTTTCACATTTAGACAAAAAATAGATAAATAATGTTAAAGTTCATTGACAAAGTACAGGTGTACTGTAGGGACACGGTTTGCCGGCCATAGTTTCTGGTTCAGTGACCACACTACCTGTATATAAACATTTTGGCAGTGGTTTGGAGTGTATAAAATGTTCAGTGTGATTTGTCAAAAGTTTGTTTTTAGGAATTTAAGAAAGTTCTGAATGTAAGTGTGCAGAGACCTATCAAAATAATTATTACTGTAAGCTGATCAAGAAACCTGGTGAAATTGACTATTGACTTCATGAAATGTGTACATGCACACATGAATGTGTATAGGTTTACACATATACATTCATTTTTATAATACAGTAATGTATGTATTTAAATCCACTTGTCAAGTCGTGCATGAAAAACCGAAGGCTTTCAAAATGGTTTAAAATGATTTCCCCAGTATCCGGCATTCTGTATCCTACATCAGGTATGATGTGCACAATGTTTTTTTATTAATCTAAGATCTAAGATAAGTGTACAAATGTCATTTTCACTGTTTTATGTTCAAGTAGTGTTATTAACATTGTCATATTTTAGGAGGATCCAGGAATATGTGCTAAAGGGGGTGTGTGTAATAGGGATTGGGGTGTTTATTACATGTTCTTTTGAGCAGTTTTTCTTCTCACCTCATGAGGAACATATTTTTATTTTACAGTAAGTTTCATGATCAAGGGACTAAGTGTAATATTATGTTCAGGAGGGGGTGGGGACTACTCTCTTTAGATGAAAGTTTATAATATAAAAAAAAAACTTAAGAATTCAAAAGATCTGTAATTTCAAGTTGTCAAATATATAATTTTGTCAAAATGTTTTCTCATCTATGTAGCAATGGGCATACAGTAGTTTTCAATTGGTAAATTAATTATTTTTGTCCCTGTTTGAATCTGTCAATGCACCACTTTCTGCAAGCTACTGGCAAATTGTCTCATTTACTTCTGAATCAGCACTTTTTAAATAATAGCACTGTTTTTGAAAATGCCTGCAACACCCTAAACCAACATGCAGAGCTCTATAACATAAATCAGCATTCATTTGACAGTGTAGTGTAAATGTGTAATTTATATTTCTGTTCAAAGATCTTCCAATTGCATGGTTATGAAATAAAATGCATCAAAATTGCACCTTGTTGATTCAGTTGTCTGAGAAATCGCACTGGTATTCCATCAATATGTCACTATATACTGTAACATGCCTTGTCATTTAAGCACACATTATGATAACTGATTAAAATGGATCAATAAAAAATATAAGCTCTATCTTGTCCGATCTGCAATGAAATCAAGATACATGTTTTGAAAATGATATTGTTTAAATTTTTTTTTGTTGAAATGCCTTAGTTTTCTTAAGAGGATTTGAACTGTTAACCTTTAAGTAGCAATAAAACACTATTTTGCTAAACAGGTATTAATGCTGATCATTCTATACTTGATCAGCTTGTGAATTGATCTGTTTGAAGCACTTGAAAAGTTAAGTAGGGTGAGGGAAGGGGGGGGGGGGGGAGATATGAACTGTCCCATACTGAAAGGTTTAGTAATCAGAAAGGTCTTTTAAATGAACTGTAATTTAATGTCACAGGATTGGTTTTTTTTTCAAACTTTATAATGACACTCACGTTGAGAATGTATTGAATTTAATTTGTTGACTGTTAGCTATACTGCACCAGCTGTTGATTATTATTTTCACATACACCATCAAGTCTGTCACATTCATCTATAGATATATCCTGTGTATCCAATACTATAGAGTTTATCATAATGACCAATTTAAAGTATGTGAACAGGAATTAATTATTATCTATGGGTAAGGCATATTTTCTTTTACAGGGTTGTCTCTAAGACCCAGGGGCTGGGGAATTTTGCTGCCTATAATGTAGCTGCTGAACTGTAGCTCTCCGGAAAAAAAAAAAAATTGACAGACCGGAGAGCTACAGTGCCACCCATAGAAAAAACTGTATATTTATTGCGCACAAAAAGTTGCGCTCGGTTCTGGATTTATTTCTCCAAATTCTTACCTCAACTGCACAAAAAGCTCGATTTCAAAAAATTGCTTATAGACCTCTAACAGCTACTCTTGTAGTTGACATCTTAATGAAGCATGTTTGGCCGAATCGTCCAGCCACCCAAAATGGCAGTATTAACAGACAAAATTTTGGATGTTCTTAATTTCAGGCACAGGAGGGCTATTGACAACGGTTATAGGAAATGTTTTGATGTGGGAATAGTGCAAAAATGTGTTAGGAACACATGGTCAGTAATATTTTGAGATTGTAGTTTAAAAATACGGAGAAATAAATCGAGAAACAGCGCACTTTTTTGTGCGCAATAAATATACAGTTTTTTCAATGGGTGGCACTGTAGCTCTCCAGTCTGTCTTTTTTTTTTTCGGAGAGCTACAGTTCTGCAGCTACCTATAATGATGTAATTCTGGTATGAATTCCCCCTGAAACCCCTGTTAGGGGAGGAAACCCAAACCCCCTTCTACTTTTTTAACCCCCCCTTCCACTATTTCACTTAGGGACAACCCTGTTTTAGATTGGTTTATGTTATAAGGAACTTTATTTCAGTCGTATTGATGAAGATACATGCATAGGTTAGACTGTAATCTGGCCTTTCAAAAAGATAAGAAACAGCTAGGTGATACATTTACAAAAATAGGAAGTTTACTCTGTGAAAACATTTTAATTAAATCTGTTATTAATTTTTTTCTCAGTTGAATATTTAATTGAATATTTTGGCCAGTACCTGTACAATTACCATTTCAGCTGCGTAAAAGTACCAGGTACTGGTAGATTTTGAAAAGCCTACTGTAGTAAATTTAATTTTTTAGAGCAGCTTGCTTTTTATATCACACTTCAAGATTGATGTTTATACAGATACCTCACAAATAATTGACAGAAATCTAAATTAATGGCACCAGTCTGGCAAAAAAGCTTAAGGTTATATTTTTAGATGTGAATGTACATGTATCAGTCTTACGTTGTACTCTAAATATATATTCTACTTCCTATAGTAGCCTGTAATTTAGTCATAGTGCACATGTAGTTTTTCATATTCATCTGGTATGAATTGATGAAAAATGTGCAATTATGGTATTCAAATCTACTGTTTTTCAAAGAGTCTTTGGCCCTAAGGCTGAAATAGGACCTTTAATGCTGATACGAAATATGATATGGATTTTAGTACCATATGTAGAATTCTCTATGTATTGACCTTTTCATAAAACTAATTTTACCAAAAAAATCTTCCAAAGTAGATGATTTTTTTTTTTCAGTTCATCACGCCATGGATGTCTTGCAAGTTGCAGAATCATCAAGGGGACATAAATCTGTACAGAAAACATGACAGACTCGGATAAAACACCGATTATAAACACAACAGACAAGTCAGAATTAGAGAAGGCTCGGAACAGGATGATCGCCGAGGGATACCGTTACCGGGCAATAGACACTAGTCTGTCTGGAAGTGATTCTGACGATGGTAAAAATAGCAAACTGGGAGGGATGAATGGGGAAAGTGGTGCAGAGGGGGTATACAGTAGTTTGCCTGGGAGTGGCTGAAGATGTTAACAGTATCAAACAATAAAGAATGATTGGGGGAAGGGGGGGGGGGGTCAGGGGGCATACTGTAAATCACTTTTTATTCATGAGAACTTTATTTTTGTGTGGGCTCTGGAATTTTTCACCTATTAAATATAGTACTAAAAATCAGTGAGAGTTGACAATAAAGCCTGGGTGTAAGTACTTTCAGTACATTATTATTGTATTCGAAACCAAATTCAAAGGAAGTGCAAAACATCAAATTTAATGAACTCATAAAATACACTGACAAAAATCTATCCAATGAGTTTGTTTTCATTCCAGTGTCTGCCATTTGATGTGAATTTAAATTTTGCATTTCAGGAAATTCAGAATTAAAAATCTATGTTTTTAAATTGGAATGCACCCTATGATTTCTACAGCTTTATATGTCATTGCTCAATAATCCAATCAAATTTTACCCGAGGCTCCAATGAAGTGCGAGTAATTGTCTAGTTTGCCAGACCGTGGGATTGTTTTATAATGTTGTAAGGATTTATCTTCTGGCAACTTTCTGTTTATTCTGCTACTGTACAGTATAATTTAAGTACGACTAACCAATTTAAAAACAGAGTTTAACGTAGAAAGAACTTATTTTATATTTCAGTCAAGATAAAAGCTTGTCTTGGTAGTCAGTTAGGAATAAGTCTTTTTTTTTTGGGGGGGGGGGGGGGGGGGGGGGTGGAGGATGAGTTGATAACTAACCTGAGACCATGTGATAATTCACAATAGTGCAAGAGGTCCAAAGTTCATTGATTTATAGGAAAATCTGTGTGCTGCATCATTGTAATATATATTGTATTTTGTGAAACAGAATCCCAGAGTTATGTTATAATAGCTACTGGTTTTACCTACATACAGTATTTACAGTTAAGTCAGTCTAAGCATCTACTGTATAGAATGAGCCTTACATGACTAACAATCATATTTTATTGAAGCTTTGAAAATAAAATACATTTCTTTCCAGTCCTTTTAATAATTACCTTAAAGTGTGGTAATTTGTAAAAGATGACCACGTGTCAAATGTAACATTTTAATGACAATTTCTGAGAGGTCACTTAGTACAGCTTTGATTGTGGTAAATTACAATATGTTAGTACATTGCAATCATTATGTATCCAATGGTATCATGATTATGGTAAATGTTATACTGTACAATTATTACATTGTGTTACAAATATTGCATTTCTTAAAAATGAGGTACATGCATATCTATCTTAAATGTTATCTTGTATTGCATTTGTTACATTTGATATACATGTAAATGTGCTAATACATCATATTGTTACAAATATTACATGCAGTATAAATATGGTATGTTATATTACATTATCATGATTATATTACAATTATTACAGATTACAAATTACAAATTACAGATACAGTAAAGAAAAAGAGAAATGGAAGGCGACCTATATCACAGTGGTGTATCCTTGTACTCCTGGGTCTTGCTGTTATTATTATTGCAGTTCTAACCGGGCTCATTGTGTGGCAGCATCTACAGAAATCCAAACACAAGCAGGTAGAATGCTTATCATAAATATCACCAGCACATATAATTTTTGTAATGTCTGTCCTCATTCTTCATCTGCCAAGCTGTCTGTCTGTCTGTCCGTCTGTCATACTTTGCAATTAGCTCAGTCGCAAAGAAACTGTTCAAGATATTTTTATCAAAATTTATATCTGATTCAAGATATATATTGGTGAGAGTAATTGAACTGATCGAGTCATAGTTTTCTGAACTTGACCATTCCTTCGTCCATAACCTTACCATTTTTCAATTTGTGTTTACTGTAATGCAAAGATTTTCATCAAACTTGATACACCGATACAAATCAGCCATACTAGAATTTTGTGACCTTGATCTTTCCTATTACCTTGAAGTTCAGTTCATCTAATTGAATTCCAGAAAGGATTATTTTATACACCTCCATACACACACACACAGATAAATCTCTTTGAGAGCTTTTTCATTTTTAGCTCACCTGAGCTGAAAGCTCAAGTGAGCTTTTCTGATCACCTGTTGTCCATCCTCCATCCCTCCGTCTGTCTGTCTAGCTGTCTAGCTGTCTATCCATCCGTCTGTAAACTTTTCACATTTTTATCTTCTTCTCAGGAACCACTGAGCCAATTTTAACCAAAGTTGGAACAGAGCATCCTTGGGTGAAGGGGAGTTTCAATTGTTAAAATGAAGGGCCAATCCCCATTACAAGGGGAGATAATCAAGAAAAGACAAAAATAGGGTGGGGTCATTAAAAAATCTTCTCAAGAACCACAGGGCCAGAAAAGCTGAAACTTATATGGAAGCATCCTGGAGTAGTGTACATTCTAAATTGTTCAAATCATGGCCCCCAGGGGTAGGGTGGGGCCACAATAGGGAATCCAAGTTTTACATTGAAATATATAGGCAAAATTTTTAAAAATCTTCTTTTCAAGAACCACTGGGCAGGAAAGCTGAAACTTATGTAAAAACAACATCGGGTAGTGTAGATTCTGAATTGTTTAAATTATGGCCTCCGGAGCTAGGGCGGGGCCACAATAGGGAATCGAAGTTTTACATTGAAAATATATAGGCAAAATCTTTAAAAATCTTCTTCTCAAGAACCACTGGGCCAGAAAAGCGGAAACTTATGGGGAAGCATCCTTGGGTAGTGTAGATTCTAAATTGTTCAAATCATGGCCCCTGGGGTAGGGCGGGGCCACAATAGGAAATCCAAGTTTTACATTGTAATATTTAGGCAAAATCTTTAAAAATCTTCTTCTCAAGAACCACTGGGCTAGAATAGCTGGAACTTATGTGGAAGCATCCTAGGGTAGTGTAGATTCTAAATTGTACAAATCATGGCCCCCGTGGGTAGGGCGGGGCTGCAATAAGTGTCAAGGGAGGGGGGTCTGGTGAAGATCAGCAGGGCCAAAGTAACTCAGGTGAGCATTGTGGGCCATGGGCCTCTTGTTTATACAGGGATTAATTGTCATTGCAGAAAAAATACAGTGCACTTAAGAATACAAATCCACCTTTTATATTTTTTAAGGCTATGTCTGTCTTTGTTTCTTCCTTTTTATGTGTGTCCTTCATCTGTCCTTATATTCATTCATCAACACTTTAGTTGTCTGATAACTTGAACATTTTGGTAAATTTACTACATTGATTGAGGGATCATTAGACTTTTATGCAGTTTCTTACAGCTTAGAGCTTTTGCAAGTCATTGTTTATAAATCAATCCTTGATATTTATGTGTAATTATGTGTAATTACAGTAAAACATGGTTACAGCAAACATGCTTATAATGAATTCATGCTAAGAGCAATGTAGTTCTTATTTCCAGAAGTTTTTAAAATAAATACATATGTATTATCAACTTATCAAATTATAATGGATTTAAATTGATAATGAATCAATTGAAAATTGTTTGTCCTTGAAATTTTGCTATAAGCTTGTTTTACTGAATAGTCAAACTTCATTATCTCAAAGTCAGTGAGGCTGAGAAAAAAAAAACTTGACATGTCAGAGCATTTTACTGAGGGTAAAATCATAAAGAAAATGTGACACTTCCAAGTTACTTCCATATGTCCACGGTATTGGAGATCTCGGTTTTTGAGACACCAAAGTTTAACTTTACTTACATCACGTGTTGATTTTTATTGATTGTTTGATTTTATTACAGCCTTGTTATAGCTCTGATTGTGTTCAGGTTATTGTTTACAGCATTTTGTAGATCTATATTGATTGTTTGATTTGTTTTTACAGCCCTGTAACAGACCTGAGTGTACAGGTTATTGTTTACAGCATTCATAGATTTTTACTGATGATTTGATTTTTTTAGCCCTGTTAAAGACCAAAATGAGTACAGTTATTGTTTACAGCATTTGTAAATCTTTATTTATGAATTGATTTTTTTACAGACCTATTACAGCCCTGATAGTGTTCAGTCCAGTGCCTATATAATGAGTAAGATGGATCAGTCTGTGGACCCATGCCAGGACTTCTATCAGTATACATGTGGTAACTGGCTAAAGACAACAAAAATCCCACCCTCCCGGTCTCATTACAGCTTATTCTCAGAGATTGCGGACCAAAACAATGAAAAAATTAAAGCTGTGAGTAGTTTTGAAATTGGTGCACATGTACTAAAAATGAGTTTATCTCGCAGATACAGTGAAAGCTGTCTAATCCAACATGCACTGGGAGACAAATTTTGTGTCAGAATATGGTTTTGGATTACACAATGAAAAAAAAAAATATGAAAAATAGTAAAATGATAACAAAATTTAACGTCAGAATTCACAGTAGGATGCATTGCACAGGTGTCAGATTAGACAGTTTTCAATGTATTTCTCTTTCCTCTCAAAAATGTCACTGACAATTTGAAGTGTTTGCCAGTATTTATTATATGAAATACATATGTAGCTTAAATACACTTTTCAGTGAATTGTATTTTTAGCAAACATGAAAAGATTCTGTTTGTTGATAATTTATTTTTCATGCAAATAAAAATACTGAACTGCTTGATTCTTAGATCCTGGAGAAGAGTGGTACAACTTTCATGAACAACCACTCCACAGCCATAGAAAAGGCCAAAACATATTACAGCCTATGTATGGATGAAAAAACCATTGAAAATCAAGGAGTGGATCCAATAATTAAAGTGAGTATGAAAGCCATAAGAGATACAGAGAGTGGATCTAGTGATAAAGGTAAGTGGTAAAACACCATGGAAAATCAAGGAATGGTTCAAGTAGTTAAAATAGGGATGAAAAAATAGAAAACTAGGAGTATATCCCTTGAAAAACATTGAGTTATCTCCCCTAGCAGAAGGTCATTCCTTCTTAAGATTAATGTCTAAACCATAAAAAACCAAGTAGTTGATCTTGATTCTAAAGAAAGGAGTTAATTTACAGGTTGTATGTTACAGAGTAAATTTTAATCTCTGTTTACTCTCTTCAGTAGAGCAAGTTGGCACCTAACAGGTGGTTTTTTACTGTGTAAACTTTAGCCTTTGTTTACTCTCCTCAAAGTAGTGAGGTAGGACTTAACATGTAAGATGTTAATGAGTAGACTTTAATTTCCATCTACTCTCCTCAATATAGTGAAGTAGAACTTGATTTCATTTCATAGTACAACCTAACAAGAAGTTGTTTATAATTATGTGATAAGAACTTTGACACACAACCCCGTTGTGGTTACCTCATTTAGCCTTACTTTGAATGAATTTTACTCCCTGAGGAAGTATGCTTTCTACAAAGCATTGGCCCAAATCCAAAATTTACAGGACACAGACATCCAACCATCAATTATTTAGCCCCGAGAGAGGTAGAACATTTCAAAAGTTAATTAATCTGTTATCTCTCTTCAATAGTGAAGTAGGACTTAAGATGTGGTATGTTATTGAGTAAACTTTGATCTCCATTCACTCCCCTCAATGTAAGGTTAGACTTTATAAGTGGTGTGTTCCTGAGTAAAATTCTCTGTTAAATCTCCTTATTGTAGTAATTTAAGATAAGATATTCATGTGGTAAGTTACTGAGTATGCTTTAATCTCTATTTACTCTCCACAGTATAGTCAGATTTAAACTCAATTTACTCTCCACAATATAGTGAGTTGCAATCATTTCTATTTTCAGTTTATACGTGACCTCCATTCCTGGTCTTTGACCTCAGCTCATGGTCTATCATGGTCTGAGGCATCATGGGATTTCCATACAGCACTAACAACTAATCACGCTAAAGGATTTGAGGCCCTGTTTAGTATGGGTGTGGCAGTTGATGACAAAAATAGCAGTCAATATATAATAGAGGTAAGGCTATACAGTGGGATCATTATATTTCCAGATAGTTCAATGTTTGATGTTTCATGGATTTGTTCCTTTCATTATTACGACTTAGTATCATGTACTACGTCCTACATATTATCTCATAATTATGACTTATGTGGAGCAGCTTTCACCCACAAATTGGCAATATTGATTTGATAATTGTGCAAACTAAATTTTTCATAAGAAACACATTTGTTCAGCAAAAAATTAAGTATCCCAATGAATCAATGAATTTAAAACAGTCCACAAAAAAGCCCTTTTGAATTAAAATAATTACAAAGTATTTGAAAAAGAGCTGCTTGTACATGAAAGAGAGAAATATGCACTGGGAGAAAGCTTATGTAAATGTTCCGTTTAAGAGGAGACTATAGCTGGAAGTTGTTCAACAACAGAGTTATTGGCAGTTGGTTTTCATGGGAAAAAATTGTTAAGATTAAGTTTGATTTTATTTTGATATGAATTAATTTGCATTGACAAAATATTCTTTCTTTCAGTTTACACAAAGTGGTCTTTCTCTAGCATCTAGAGAAGAATATTTTACAAACCACTCCAGTTACCAGAAGATAAAGACAGGCTTCCTGGAATTTGGTGCTAAATTAGGGCACCTGCTAGGGGGAGAGAACTCCTCAGTGTGGACAGGAATGTCTGATATCTACGGCCTAGAGACAAAACTAGCTAGTGTAAGTAGTAACATCCTTTATTGTAACAAAATCTGCTCCCTGTATCTAAGAAAATGTTTGTCTGACATTTATTTTGGCCCCTTTCATCCTTATTACATGTAGGCGAATTTCAAATTGGCAAACTTAAATGAAAAAAGAGTTGTGTGTTTTAGCACAACTGTATCTAGGTGAATTAAAAGTGGGGCAGAATTGTTTGCAAGTGTGATGGGGCAAAAATGACATGGGACAAAAATAACCTAGTATACAGTTTAGGATAATTCTAACACAATTAGAATTTGTACTCTTCAAGAATTGGTTAGGTGAAATAATAAGCTATTACATGTAAGTGTGGATTAATGATTAATGATACCATCCTCTCCCCGCTCCTCACCCTTTTGTGTCCACAACCACCATCCCCAATATTCTTTCTGAATGGAAATCAGTCTATCTCTGGGGAGAAAGAAGCTCAAACAAAATATTTGTGCACCCCCATATGGCATTGCATGTTTGTTTTTTGTTTGTTTGTTTTGTTTTGTTTTTTTTGTTTTGTTTTGGTTTTTTTTTAATAAAATGCATTTGCATTAAATCAATCACAACTTTGTAATTTTTAATGAAATAATTTTAAGCATTCATGAAAAGAGATCAATAACTTGATATTGTATTTTGTAGATACATGTTCCAAAAGAAGAATTACTAGATCCTACCAAGACTTATCATAAAATGACAGTCTCAGAATTCCAGACTCTGATTGGTTCATCTGTAAGTTGACAGTTGTTTTCATTGGTTCCTCTTTAAGTAACCTTTATTCCCATTGGTTAATCAGATATTTACAGATACAGTTGAACTTTGGTAACTCCAACATTGATATCTTGAATACCATGGATATATCAAAGTGATTTTGTAGTCACAAATGCTGATTTCTTAAGTACTTTACTTTCTATATCTCAAATCCTCTGATATCTCAAAGTATTTTCTCAGGACCATCAAGTTCAAGAAACAAGGTTTGACTGTATATGGTTAATAAATTACAAATTGATAATTATTGATTTTCAGATTAAACTGACCCAGTACCTGAAATCATTGTTTGGGAGGGATCTGGGGGACGTAGCTGTTCTGGTACACACCCCCAAGTACTTCCGGCAGCTGGGAGGTGTTCTAGCTAAAACTCCTAAAAGGTATACCACTTCTAAACCTCATGCTTACATGTATAACTTGTCATTATATGTATTGGGTTTGATTTAATCACAGTTAAACTTATTACTATTGATTTTATTGGGACTATTTAATCTGAGTATTACTTATATATCAAAGACATTAAATTTTATGCAATTGTATTGAAGGTAAGCTTAAGGTTCATAAACCCTCTGTTCCCTCAAATAAAATGTTTCTCTAATGTTCATGATTTTCTGAAAGAAAAATATTTTATAATAAGTAAAATGCATCCAATTTTAGCAAAGCGGACAGGGCAAAATTGGACAAAAAGGCATTTAAACTTGACAAATTTATAATAAAAGGATATCCAATTAAGAGTTATCTCTCTTATCAGAGTATCAATGATCCTTAAGATTGAGTTTTCTGTGATGTAACAGCAGTGTTTGAAAATCACCGTAAATTAAGCTAGACATGCAGGGCCGACTGCTAGTGAAAGTTGTCAGCGCTGCCAAAAATCTACTAACCTGAGAAAATAATTGTCTTTTATAAATTTGTTTTTTGCAGTAATTTGAATTTGGGGGTCAAATCATCAAAACTTTAATCTCGAATCTATAGGCTGACGAATTCTATCTTTTTGCTAATGTAACACATTGCTACCAATTACCATTAGTTGATTTGAGAAAGAGTAATCAAATTAATGAATTGTAATTAATGGGAAATTTGAACAAGTCCAGCCGGGCGATTATACATGCAAATTTGTCAGCTTGCGGCAAAATTTGTGTGTCTCGGGCGGTCAGGCGCACTGTTATTTCAAACAATGGAGACAGGTTAAGCTAATTATCACTGTGACAG